CTAAGGACAAGAATTTCCCCATGATGTTTGCAGACATGGGAGGGTAAACGAATTCCTGTGGGTTAAAGATGTTGGGAACAAAACTGCTCCAATAACTACTATTCCAAAGATCTTTCAAATTATAATCATCCAGAAATTAGCAACTGGAGGGAATTAACACGTTACTAGTAGCAGTTCCTGTAACAACTCTCACCTCCTTGAAGATGATACTGACCAAACGTCTATTGAAGATGATATTCAGCTCTCTCTCTAGTTCTGTTACTTGTTGCTGTTTTTTGTGGGCATAGAATCTGATAAGCTGTTGACAGCTTTAAATGAAATATTATCATGACCATCTTAACAGGAATCTAGCAGAAATACATACATGCATAAATCAAACTAACTAGCATACAACCATCAACTGAGATTTAGTCTTTTTTTTTTTTTTTCTACTTCAAAGGGCAGTAGCTTTCAAATTCAGTGCATGAATTTATTTTCCTTTATTTCTATTTTTCTTTCATGTTAACTCAGTGCTTGTGGATAACACCTAAATGATAGCCACAGTACTGTAGATTTCTTTGTCTGAGAACAGATTCTGCACAAGCAGTGTAAAATTTCCTTCACAGCCTGCCATACCATCCAGACACCAGAGAGGGAAAATAACTGTAAAATTTGAGTGCATATCCAGAGTGAGGTGTTGATTTACGCCTGATGGAAGATGGCCAACATTAATTTTATTAAATTAAAACCAGTCCACTATAAAATGCATAAATGAGCTCTGTGTTCATATTTCAGATGCAGAGGATAAATTATTAGACATCAGAAAAGCATTCTCTTCTGGTCACAGATATAGAGCTCTGCTTCCACCCAATCAGCACAGTGTCTGCCTTGATATATGGGGTAACATCTGAGGATGATGAACTCAGGACTGAGTCAGATAAAAACTGCCATACTGCTATATGCACCCGACACAGCCATAAAGCAGTTGTAACTACAACTTTTTCCATGTGGTGGGGATCACAACAAAGAAGTCTGAAGCGGTTTGTACGTGAGTGTGTATAACATAGCAGAGGTTTACAAGAAAAAAATGATGCAAAACATACAGGTTTTTCATTAGCAAGATAATATTTGGCAAGCTGAGAATATTCAGTTGTTGTACGTTTGAAAACAGAAAAAAATGGCTATTATCTTGAAAAAGATTTCACAGTGCACCCAGGCTGTACTCAGTACAAGTTGCCACATGCCTGTCTCTGCAACATTGAGGACAGCCAGGAAAAGCCCTTGCCAAGAGCTACTGTGCATGCATGCAACATGTGAGAAGAATGAGATATAATAACACACTGGCAATGCTTATTTATGTAAATGCAAGCATGCTACACGATTAACGAATAAAATTGATCTTTTGTTGGTATTATCTTGATAACAAAGAATCTATACTGCTCTCACCTATTTTGTTCGATTGAACCTTCATTTTATTATGCTGACCCTGCATATCACAGAAAAATGAAGAAAGATTTCAGTGAGATTTATAATGTTCCAGTGGGGTTAGACCCCCTTAAGTTACCCTTGCATAAGGGCAATTAAAACTGCTACCTTATTAGTGGTTTAGAACTGTCCTGGGACAGGGCTGTACTTGAGGATCAGATATTCTCATGTTAACTATCACCCTTCAGTGAGGACTAAGCATCATCACAAGGAAAGAATCAAGAACTTTTTTTTATCTTACTCCACGAATTCTATTTTGTGTGGCCTTCTGGAGCTTCACAGTACAAGAAAACATAAAGTACACGTAGGTTTATTTTAGAGCAAGCCTTCCTACATCCCTTTAATTTGGATGGGTCACGCGGCACCACAATATTCCAATTTCCCGTTTTAGACAATGTCTGCTAGATGGATCTCTGGTAAAGGAAAGGGGGTTCTCTTTTGCTTGGCAACCTGGATCTTTATGGCACTTCTGTACTATGCAAGCATAGGATTTTCAGACCTTTGATTTAATATTCAGGTTAAATAGCAAAGTATATTAAAACTTTTTTTTTTTTTTTTTTTTTTTTTTTTTACTGTTAGCTTTCAATGTGTCAACATGAAGCACTATTTCAAAATCTCTAACAGTGAGCTAGACTAATCCCCATCAGTTTCTAAATCATATTTTGATTTGCAACATGACACTTCTTGAGATAGTCTTCTAAAAACAGACATAAAATGAATTGAGTGTGTTGGATGAATTGAGTGTGTTGGCTGATAACAGCTGACATTACTGTTGTAAATCTGTGCTCTTCCAGGTGCCTTCCAAAATTAACTAGTCACCCCTAACTGTTTAGTGAAATTGTCAGCTCATTTAATAGACACATTAAACTACTATTTATAAATTACTGTGACAATATTAGTGCAGCAGTTCCATAATAAGTAATATGGACACCTATGCATCTGCCACTATATTGTGCCCAGCTATCATGGCTGGAAGAAGAAGATAAAAAAAAAAACCACAGCAATTCCAGGTCATATGAAATATCCCAAATACTCAATATCACTTTAAAGTAAAACAAAAAAGTACTACAAAAATAATTACTTTTGGAAAAATATATGGTTGTGGAATAATGCTAAATTATAATAAACATCAAACATTTATTTCTGCAATCAAGAACTCAATGTCACTTCATATCTTTTTTTTCCATGATTTGAAAAAAAAATGCAGTATGATATAAAGATATTGATTAACTGCTGCTATTTCAGTAGGTTGAGAACAGCTTATATTTGTATTATGCATGACTTTCACTATCTGGATTTAACAGCACAACTTCTCTAAATAATTTTTCCCATTCAGTGTTCTGCCTCTTTGAGAGGTTTGTGGAAAAGAAGAGGAAAATAGTAACGCCTTTGTTGTCTTGTTTTCTTTTTTCTTTTTCTTTTTTTTTTCTTTTTTAACTCGAAGAGTTTAGGTGAAGAAGATGCAAGTTATTTTTTGAGACACAGAGTATATCAGAATAAACATCAAATGGATGCTTGGCAGATAATAAACATTATTTCAAAAAATAACCATTCAGAATGGATTGCATATAAAAACAGATTTTCTGACAATCGTGCTGATGTATTAAATTAAACATCCTAATGTATTTTGTGTTTCACCACCAAGATCCTCCTGAATTTTATCAGGTAACAGCGTAACATTTACTTCTGGTATATGAAGCATCACTATTATGTACACTACACTACAATTCTATTTTTCATCACGTTTAAGAAGCATCTTTTCAGCAACTTGATACAGTTCACAAAGTTTTAAGAGCTGAAAACATGCCAATTATATCTGTGATGTCATAAGTGTTACTTTTAATAGAAAAATCCACTAATTCTAAAGCTGCTTATGAGCTTACATTCAGATGTATTGATAATAGTAAATTTTATGAAAAAATAATATTATTTTGGCAGCTTAGAACTGACCCTAAATGACTATTGAGACTATCTTATATAAAGGCATAAAAACTAATGTATTACAGTGGTGCATCAATAGCATCTCTGTCTTTGAAGATAAAAAGCTCAGCAATCCTTTTGCCTGTGCTACAACACTGAACGCAATTAGAGTCCTTGTTTGCATCTTTAGCTAGTGGCTAGAACAACGATATCTGTTAAAGAAAGGATAATTAGTAGCAACCTGACATCATAAAGATGCAGTTTTTCATTATGAGATTGCCCTGACTTCAGCCTGTAAATTAAACTCATCATATTATCTTTGTGATATAAGCATACTGTTTTGCAAATATTATTGGCTCATATATTTTAGTGTTTAACACTAATGTTTATATCTGTAATATTAAAGTACACTTTTGTCCGGTTTGTCCAAATACCTAGTGAACCACATGTAGTCTTATGCTGTTCTATTTATACATGCTCTACTTGCAACAAATTTCTGGAAGGGTAGGAAGGAAAAATAACTTTTTGTGATTTTTATTTATATTAAAAACAAGCAAACAAACAAACCAGCCATTCACAGCCTTTACATTCTAATAAATAAATAAATAAGAGAGAGAGAGAGAGAGAGAGAGAAATAATAAAATAAATACAAAGTATTAAAGTAAAAACTAAAACATGACACCTCATGTTTTTTTGGAAGGTGAATCTGAACCTCAATATCTAAGGAAATGGCATTTAGGGACCTAAGAAACTCATCTTTAACCTCTTATTTTCATTGAGTAAGGGCCTTTACTTACATTGAAAATTATAGATAGCATGCAGTTATATGCTGTGCTACTATTTTTTTCAGCTCACTATTTCAGCCATCCTTCCTGAAAACTCTATTTTCTAAATTCACGCTGACACCCTCAAAGAACAGGCTATCAAATTACTTATACTCTATTATAGGAACAGTGGTCACGTAATGAGAGAGTGAATTGCATAAATTCTCTGCATGTGTGAGCTTGCATGCCTGTGCAAAGTATAAAAGCTATAATGCAAGACTTTGAATTATGAAGCAATATATCACATTAGAAATATATGAAAATGATCAGAACAATCAGAAAGAAATGCAGCAAAGGATACTGAGTCACAAAACAGCACAGCAAAAGCAGATATCTCTGTTGTCTGAAAACAGATTTGCAGTAACCATGCTGACGAGAAAAAAACAACTGTGTGCATTCTGGGCTAGAGACTTCTGGGTTTAAACCTTATCCCTGATATCAGTCTGACTTTCGTTGCTAAAAATCAAGTATGCTGTTATAGTAGACTGTTAATGTTACTTGTGGTGCACCACAAAGTTATCTCAGAACTTCCCAATTTGTTTGTTTTATGCCAAAACCAAGGATAAGGAAATAAGACAGACATACAAAGGCAGGATGTAAATGTTCTAAACCTGAACACCAAAAATAAAAATCAAGTCTACAGCAGCTATATAAGAGGCTGAATGGTGAAGGGGATGGACAGAGGGAACTACTACCAGCTGAATATTTGCCCCATCAAAAACAGGTACATATTTATAGCACATTGCATTATTTGTCCTTGTTTGAACTTTTAAAGAAAGAGTAAAAAATTACCTTTCCCACATACTGAGGTTCGGAGCCCATGTACTCCTCCAGCACAAAAAACTGGTTCCACACCCAGCCTCGTTTGACTCGCTGGACTGATGACCTCCTCCCTGGCACTGGCACAACATTGTCTCTTGACTCTGCTTCTAAAGTCTGTTGCGGCTCTGGATGCAGTGGTGTTAGGAGACCTCCATCAAACAGGACCCAGAGAAGCAGGGATAAACAGTTCCTTGTAAGCATTGGCAATGGCTTCCCTACAGCAAGTAATAAAAACTCCAGCACTTAATGCAGAGCAGAGGAATCCAGGTTTGAGGTGTCTGTGGCCTCCACCACTTAGCTTCTGATTTTATTGCGGAAATGCTAATGCAGGCATTAATCCTTCTGATGACAAGGTTTTTGCTGCATTAAATTCCATCTAAAGGGACCTATAAAAGAGATTTACATGGCAACATCAAATTACATAAAATTACATTGAAACATTCATCAAAATTCTCACACCTAGTTAGTTTCTAGAGACAGAAAGAAAAGATTAGGAATCACAGTATTAAAAGCGATTACCATTTTGATTTTAGCACTGAGCTGCTCTAGAATATAGTGCTGTTAGCATAGGAATAGCTCATTCTTGGCCTGCTTACCATCATCTGTGTCTCTGGTTTAGGGCAGGCCCACACCCTCTGCTTTATGACCCTGTTAACCAACAAAGCCATTGCCCATCAGTGATGTCAAAAGTATTTACTCTGGATTCACACATAAAATGTCTGGAAGGAGAGGACCCACCCTTCCATCCCGCTGCCAAGAGACAGGACACTTCACTTTTTGTCTCTGCCAAAAAAAGTGCTTTGTATGCATCCTCTTTCTGTTACTACAGATGGACATGGACTGAACCTTGGACTCTGGAGGACAAAATTTGTATGGATTCCATGGGAATTAATAAACGAGAAAGAGTGCATATACAGCTAAATACCACAGTGCCGCCAACACACAATATACCATCCAGGACTGGCATTATCTTCTCATGACAAGCCTTGTATCAAAACAGTAGTTGTGTTGCTCTTCAGCACTACTGTAAAATACATAAAAACAAAACAAAACAAAACAAAACAAACAAACAAACAAACAAACAACAACAACAACAAAAAAAAAACAGTCCTGATCTGTGGAGAAAATGATAGAACTGCAGTCAGTGTAGAAAATGAAGCAACACAGAAGCCAGTAAAGTAAGACAGTGATACTCATTTATACTGACAAATGCCAGGTACACAGATTAAAAATAAATCAGTGCTAACTAACTACAGGGCTGAGACAGGACTATCACATCAAGGTGACAATTAAAACAGTGGTGATCCTTGTAGCAGCCAAATGCCATCAGCAAAGAAAAAAAAAAACCCTGAAGGAATTGTTATGTTATCACATTGCTCTGTTTATACCAGCACAGAACATTTGAACAAAAAGGCAGATAAGAAAGAATGCTGTGTTTTTCTAGCCACAGTGTAAATAACAGAGGTGCTTTCTTTTAGTATTTATGAAAATCTCTGATTCATTGTCTGCAATTAATAAAATGACAGTGCTAAAGGATGTAAATATTTAAATATGATGAATGTAAATATTTAAATATTATGGAGTGTGAAATGAGTTCAATAAAATGTGCCTGTAGCTGTCATTCCAACTCTGCACTAAGTTCAGCACCAACAAAAAAATGGTGAAAATGAGCACTCACACCATCTAACAATGCTGTGATGCAGCCCATAATAAAGTCACTGTGAAGACTGATAAATCGATGGAGTTCATGCTGAAACAAAAGAAGCTATTCTAGAATTTAGAACTAGACAATAAACAATAGCAAAACATCTATACATTTCTATTAAGGTGGGCCTCAGTAAGTATTGAGGGAACAGGGAGTAAAGAAAAAGAAAAAAAAAAAGGAAAGAAAAAAGAAAAGCAAGTATTGTGTTTACTTTTCCCACTTTTCCAAGCTACTGATGCTTCCTTTAATAGACAAAATGGCTTTTATGAAGCTATCCATGACTATGCTGGCCCCAGTGCAGGTGTTAATTCTGAACTATCACATTTTCATAATGCTCAGGACAACTGTTTGACGAATCCTTTCCCTTCCATGGCTCTTATTCATTAAAGATGGATGACTGGCAGCCTGTATGTTGCACTCATTTGAACAAGCAGGGATTGAAGTTGTTTTCTGACAAATACAATTTTTATAATCCACTGTTCTTTACTAATTTTAAATCCCAATGTGTACTGAAGACTTTAAAATGATTTAATAATCCTGTCTCATTAAGACCTGCAACCTAGGGATGAAATGCCAGCCTACTCCATAGGTCTGCTGTTTGTCAGGTACAACAAATTCTACTTTTAGGATTTAAGATGGATGCATTTTACATTTTAAGAACAAAAATACGATTTATATCAATATGGAATTCACCACTTGGTTAGGGCCATATTGTGCCATTGATTTTTAAGTAGAAGTTTCTCCCAAATCAATAAAGAGTTCTGCTTAAAAATCAATGGCATGATATGGACCTCAGAAGAGAAGACATGGTAAAGTACCTAACCATATATATTTTCTCATTTTCAAGCACTGCTATAGTTTATATTTTCCTTATAAATAATACCATTACTATCCATAACAATAAATAACATTTAAATTCTTATTTGTTAGCTACATGGTAAAGTATCTAAATAGAAAGGATTTATAATTGGAACACCAAATAATGAGTTTTGAAGAAAAACTAACGAATGAAACCTTAGAAGAATAACTGCAGTCCCTACTCTAAATACAGAAAAAGATTTCCTGTTCTAATGACAAAGGTTATATTTTGGGTGTTTGAATTCCTTCAGAAAGGATTAAAATTGAGAGAACTCCTATTTGCTCATGATTCTTTTCTAACACCAAAAAAAACCACATTTTTTCTAAATTGCGCTCAAGACATTTCAATTTTTATTTTTTTTTAATCTACAAAAAAATATTTCCAGGTAGCATGCATAAGTCAAAGTTTTCATTTGTGTTACTGTTTCTATTCTACGAATTTTATTCCATCGATAAACATTTAAGACAGTACCATACCATACTAGAGGGTGGGGTGTCCAAATGAATATTTGGAATCTATTTCTATTATTATACTTATTTACCAATTCACATTATTTTTTGTGCTTCTCTCTCTTCAGTGCACTCAACAGCATAGAACATCAGGTTCAGATTGTGTTCAACCATAATTCAGTTAAAAAAATAATCCAAACTCCTGTACCTCTCTTGATCCACAACTGCAGGATACATGCCTAGTATTTATGGCAAAATCAGAGTAACTACGCAACACATAAATAAATAAATAAATAAAAAGAACTTAAAGTATCCTTTTGAATTGCTCAGGCGTGGATGGGAGATGGAAATAAACAACATAAAAAAGTGTTGGGGTAGTCTGCACTGCTTCACAAAGCCCGAAATCATGCTGTATTCAATTTAACTGCTGTACCACAGCTCTTTGCTGAGGAGGCTCTGTGCATTGCGGTTCTCCCAGCAGAGCTCTGCCTCCGGCCATGTCTGTCAGTCAGGGAGCTTTTAAAATGTTATACAGCACCAAAAGTAATGCAAAGAGATTGAAGGACTTCAGTGAAAGAACAATTCCCCCTTGGCTGGAAGGTTAGTAACCACACGCAAAACACTGGGCACTTTAACCCCTTCTCTGTCGGTTGCTTGGACTGCCTTCAAGAGAATGCTGCAGAGCAAGCAAAGCGCAATGCCAGCACTCACCTCATTCCCGGCAGCTTCAAAACATGGGTGAACATAAGGGTCAAAGAAAAAAATGGGAGGCTAATAGGTGTTGCTGTATAGGATTGCAGCACAGACACCCTCATCATCTGCAAAAGAGTTCACCACGAATAATTTGCACTTTTAAAGCTCAGCAGTTAGAAGAGAATCCAGCACTTCAGCACTCAAGAAAACCATGCCAGTTTGCCGCTGCAAACACCTGAGCAGCAGCAGACTGAGGCAGACAGTCTCTCCCTGCCTCCTCTCCTTCCCCAACACTTCACTGCTGGCTTTGGAGGAAGCCTGGTGGAAGCAGCTTGACAGAATATATTTAATAACACAGTTGGCATTTGTGCAGTGATTCAAAGGCTAAGACTAGTGTTTCTTTTAGTCTGTGTTTTCTGGTTTGCTTTGTTCTTTTATTTTTTATTTATTTATTTTTATTTAAGCTAGCCGTTAGTCTTCCAGCCATGATGCCTAAACCTGTTTTGGTGCTTTTATGTTGTCATACACTCATTAAATGTTTAAATCAGAAAGCCCTTTTATACATTTACCTAAAAAACCGTTATGAGAACTAGGAGGTAACTGTACAGAAATCCAATACGAATATTCAATATTCCAATATTCCAATAAGAATAAGAAAGGTACGATACTACATCTCCTAAATTTCCTAAAGAATTATTTCCTTTGATGCTTAGAGAGGAGGAGATCTAGTAAGAGAGTTGTGCACAGACTTGCATTTGCAATGCATCTCTTTTCCAATCAATATGAAAGTACAGAATGCCAGATTTTTTCCCTGCATCTCGCTTTTTTCAAGATTAGCCTTTGCTAGTCATTTCTGTAGATTATGGTATATGCATTTAAGTACCAGTGTGTGACTAACTTAATTCAGAAACAGAGTTACAGAGGCAAAATCCCAATGAATTTACCTACACACATGATTTTATACACTGAGATTTCATTTTTTTCACTTTCACAGTTCGAAAAAGTGAAGTGATGCAACAACAAACATGGACAATCTGTTAAAACATGGTACCTAAGTAATCTTGATCCTATTTACTCCGTCCCCAAACCTGCCAGGCTAAGGAGCTCATGAAATGCAAATGATGAATTAAATATCGTTACCAAGAGCATTTATTGAGAATAACAAAATACAGTACAAATGGTGCTCCTGCAAGAATTTTGATACTGACCTGGATTGTATGGCCATTAATCTAAACAGCCTGAGCAAAGGAACACTATAGGAATAGCAAAACTGATGTATGCCATTGTTACTGCAATAATCTTCAATCAAAGAGAGTAACAGCACACCCGACACAAGTCACCTCACCAAGCTCAGTAAAGGTTATCCCTTCTAGAGAGGACAGCCATATATTCTCTACAGTTACTACTATACACACAAGGCTTGATTTAGAGAAGTCTCTGAAAGGAAATTATAAATGATCTTTGATCTATATGAGGTATCTTCTTGGATCAGACAGTGGATTAGCTACTGTCGTATGCAGACAAGCTAGAAACACTAAAGCTCCATGAAGCACTCAAAACTGTCCTCAGTCCAGCAAAGATGATAATTGCACCTCTGTGAATGGAGGCAAATTGCTTACTGACAAAGTATCCATTATGCACTGATGGTGGGAACATTTCTGCAGCCACCTTAATCATAAA